AACAATACTACAATATCTTCCCTTATAATAACCACTCGTATAGCTCCATACAAATATGTTTATGATTTCATAAATTCTATAACAAAATTAAAGTACTTTCACTTTAATTTTGTTATAGAATTTATGGAATCATAAACATATTTGTATAGAGCTATGGGAGTGGCGTTATAAGGGAATATATTGTCAAAGCAGAGTTTTCAAACAGTGTTTTGAACCATGAAGTAACTTGTTCCGTCCATTTTGATGTGATACCTTAGGTACTGAAAATGTTAAATGTATACACATAGCCTCGGATGGAAGCTTTAGTGATATTAATACTGTAGAGGAAGATACAGCGGCTTAATTAATTTCTGACTACCGTCCATATTACGTAGACAAACTGTCTAAAATAATACCCATAGTAAAGATGTTTAGTTCTTGTAAACAAAACTAGATGGCACCACAGAGAAAAATAGTTATCGCTATCTTTTTGTTTTTGTTGTTTGCCTTATGTCTTTGTAGAAAAACATTAACATATACATTAACAACATTAACACAATAACGTCCGGTGAAGCTGTAAAGGCCAGCTACGGCCAACAGCATTAAAGTAGTCCGAAAAAAAAAACTAACATGTCCCTCCGATTGATCCCGCGTCCAATTTAAACGTGGATCGATTTACGACGGCCTGATCCGAGGTTCGAACCTCTAGCGGTGCCCTCAGATAAAGTCGTATCCCTCAGGCAGGAGATGAACTTCAGCCGTTTCATAAGTCCTTCCGCGGGTTTGGAGTGCCATTTGAACTCGCCTCTTATCGTCCGGTGAAGATGTAAAGGCCAGCTGCGGCCAACAGCATTAGAGTAGTCCGAAAAAAAAACATTAAATTGAGTTTTTTCAACAGTATGTGTGAGATTTCATTTTAACCAAATTAGAGCAGTACTGATACAAACAATACCCTAAAAAGTATCTACGAGTTAGGTAGATATAAATTAATGTAAATAACATTATCTACTAACAAATAATTTCGTATATATTTATCGTATACTATGTTTGTGCTGAATTTAAGAATAGAAAATCATTTATTCAAATAAAGTTACATTGAAGCACTTTTGAATAGTCATAACATTTTTTTAAATCTACCGCTTATTCGGAAAGCTGTCTCATCACAAGAAGAATAAGCAAGAAACTTGTGTGTTGCTCTTTTAAACAATCCTTGTAAGTTCACATTTTACAAGTCGAAACGTGTGAATACAAACTACCAACCAGCACTAATTTATTTAGGCTCAAATATAAAAACACAATAAGATTAAATTATATAATTAACCTCTCTTAGAATTCTAAGAGAACTTAGACTTTCGAAACGTACAACTGTACGTTTCTAAAGTTAGCACAAGTTAATGAATTAGCAATCGTCTGTGTTCTGAGGAATTGTTCGACATGATGCCTACGGCCACCTTTCACCATCGCACCGCTCGCCATCGACAGGGAATTCATTCCCACATATTAAGGTTTCTTAAGGGTCGGCAACGCGCACGTGACACCCCTGGTGCTTCAGGCGTCCATAGGCTACGGTAACCATTTACCATCAGATGGGCCGTATGCTTGTTTGCCACCATAGTAGTATAAAAAAAAAAAAAAAAGTATACTCCACAGGAAGATATGCTTTATTAAAAAATATCTAGTAAGATCGAAAAAAAAAATTAGAATAGGAACCAGACTTTTTATTTGTAAATAATAACTCCGTAACTGGCAGTACTGAAACGGAAACTAAAGTGAATGTAATCTTGGACGATATTCCGTAAACTTAAAACCTCTAACGATAACATCCAAGAGAGTTTAGACACAATGTGGGGCCCACGCTTTTACTTACTTTTAAGCACTTTTGGGATAAAATTTTTTAAGTTTTAAGTTAAGTGCTAATTTTTAAGACTAAAGTATATGTGTGAAAGTTAGTACATTATGTAAAAGATAATATGCCAAGAGAGAGTATATGGGGAAAATAGTTCAAGCAAAAATTAATGGAAAAGAAAGAAATATTACTCTTTGTATATTATATTTTACATCATGTATTAAACATGATGTAAAATATAATATCCTAAGAGACAGAGAGATAGCATGCAGAAATAAAAAAAAACAAAATTGAATGAAAAAGAAAAAAATATTACTCTTAGGATATTATCTTTTACACCATGTTTAATACATGATGTAAAAGATAATATGCTAAGAGACAGAGAGATAGCATGCAGAAACAAGGAAAAACAAAATTGAATGAAAAAGAAAAAAAATATTACTCTTTGCATTTTATACATCATGTTTAATACATGATGTAAAAGAGAATATCCCAAGATATAGAGTGAGAGAGAGCTTAGAGAAAAAAGAAGAAACAAAAATGAATGCAAAAGAAAAAAATATTACTATTGGCACATTATCATTTACATCATGTATTAAACATAATGTAAAAGATAATAACCTAAGAGACAGAGAGAGAGCATGCAGAAATAAGGAGAAACAAAAATGAATGGAAAAGAAAAAAATATTACTCTTTGCATATTATCTTTTACATCATGTTTAATACATGTATACATATATATTAAACATGATGTAAAATAATATTTTTTAATATATATTTTTGCACGTTGAATACTGTAGAACATATTGTAGAAACCAAATAGTCTAAATATGCGAACAATGAGTTTTCCGTTCGGTTTAAATGCTTCCCACTCTGAAATTTGTTATAGAATTTAGAACTAGCCGTGTAGATGTCCAGCGTACTGTCGATAGTGATAAATTGAAATCTAAAGTGAATTTATTGGAGAAACTAATGATTTAATGATGGTTGATACATTTGAAAGGATAAGAATGTAGATATTGTAGCACAAATAAATCATTTCATAACATAAAAAAGTCGCTGTCACTGTCTGTCCACATGTATGCTTAAATCTTTAAAACTACGCAACGGATTTTGAAGCGGTTATTTAATTACACAGAGTGATTCTAAAGGGAGGTAATATATATATATAATACATGTACACCCGTGCGAAGTGGGGCGAGTCGCTAGTAAATAAAAATAATTCTTCTTAAGTGAATTTGTATATTGAACTGGATTTTAATATAAAAATGATGTTCATAAGGGGCTAAAATGTCCTATGTATGTATGTATATGAATAATATATTTTATAATTTGAAAAATAAATCTTCAATAGTAACAATTTCTTCGTTAAACAATCTTAAGATGTATTACAGTATTGTAAGGTCATATTACATTTCTACCTAAGTCTAGAAAGTGCTTGATCTTGTTCTCTAATAATAGCATTTTATAAATGTATTAAATCTCAGAATGGATACAAGAGCTGATAGCTCTACGTGTACACATTCTCGGAGCGACTGAAAGCTACAATTGCTGTATTATCAACTTTACGGGATTTTTTAAATATATCACTTTATCTACACTAATAGATGTTTAATTTCGCTCTATAATTGTAGTCCTGTAAAATTTTAAATTTTAAATTTGATATGAAATTTTATACACCTTTGTTACCCAATATACGCTTTCAATGCGTCTGGGAGGATGATAGAGCCAACAAAACTGTCTGGCAATTTAGTAAACATAGTTTAATAGTTCTCTGATTAATATATATAAATTTCAGCTTTCTTGAAATAACGGACGTTTATTCATAAAATAATATAATTTAGGGGAGTCCGGCGGGGGGTTGGAACCTTATGAGCAGTTCAAGTTATAGTACTGTTACGAGCTATATGTGAAAAAAATTTAGTTTCATAAATTAACAAATTTGATATGAAATTGTGTACACCGTTGTTACCCAATATACGCTTTCAATACGTCCGGCAGGATGTTAGAACCAACAAAATTGTCTGGCTATTTAGTAAACATAGTTTAATAGTTTTCTGAATAATGTATACAAATTTCAGCTTTATTAAAGTAACGTAAGTTTACTCATAAAATAATATAGTTTAGGGGAGTCCGCCGGGGGGTCGGAACCGTACTGTCTGGCAATGAGCAGCGCAAGTTATAATACTGCTACGAACAATATATGAAAAAATTAATGCAATAAATGAAATAGGAAAATTTTTACACCTTTGTTACCTGTTACTTGCATAAGAAACCACGATCCAGGTTTCATGTTTGGGGATCGTTCTTACCTTTGTTGGGGACACACATACAAGAATTTTCACATTTACTAATAAGACTTATGTCTGGCCGTCGTGGGCCTTTGCTCTAAACTATATAATCGTACTTTCTCTCTGCTACACTCGGCAGTATGTTGAATTTTTTATAGGTATTATCCGTAAAAAATTCAGCTCAACACAGCCGGCACTAAAGATTTTAGCGTCATCGATCCCCGTCCGAAAGTAGAAGCATCAAATAATGTCCATTAAAAAATGCACAGTTTTGAATTTTAATCGAAAATATTGACTAATACTTTGAATATTATGCATTTTTATTAAACAACTAGCTACTCGCCCCGGGTGTACACATATCATACATATAAACATTCCTCTTAAATCACTCGTATCTAAATTTAAAAAATAACCGCTTCAAAATCCGTTTCGTAGTTTTAAAGATTTAAAGCATACATAGGGACTGATAGCGGCAGCGACTTTGTTTTATACTAAAAATTTTTTTTTTTAAGTTTTTTTTTTAAATTTATTTTTTTATTTACAATCGATTTTATACATAATTGACAGATGTCTAACTATGATGACAGCCCTAATCAAGAAAGATAAAATATTGGAATATATAATAAAAAAAAAAAAAAAACATAAACTGAAATAGATACGAACAGCATTATGAAACTGGCAAATCATCAATTCATCACACAAGCTGATCTGACATATCTACATAGTTATAAAACACAATAAATTTAACAATTGGACACAATCCTTATTCTGCAGAATTATAGTGGGTACATAATAAATTAAGCATACAGCAGTATGTATTTATTGCTCCGAATAAGCCTCGGTTTTTTAGTGTTCATAATATGATAATAAATAAATTCACTTACCAATTAATGTTAGCATCATTGAACTGCTGACATAAGCAAGAAGAATAATTCCAAGACTGAGAACAATGGCCAACGGGATGGACCTCTTCGGATTGTTAGCTTCTTCACCAGTTGTTGCAATGATATCAAAGCCGATGAATGCGTAGAAGCAAGTTGCAGCTCCGCTGAACACCTGAAAAGAGTACTTACTTCACTATTTTGTATCAACAATAAGAACAATCTATGAGTTTGAAAGTTGCATCAGTTATAGACAAGTTGCGAGGTAATAGATTGAGCTGGTATGGACATGTTATGCGGAGGAACGAGGGTCATGTCTTATGGAAAGTGTATAATATGAACGTGGATGGATAGAAACGAAGGGGACGCGCTAAAAAAATGGATGAATTGTGTGACAGATGACTCAGACTTGACGGCCAATAGAGATCAGTGGAAGAGAATGATATACTGCGCCGATCACAGCTAATGGGATAAAGGCAAGGCAATGATGTATAAGAGCGAAAAATGAAAATAAAAGAGGAAACGCAAGGTTGAGAGTTACATTTTTAGATGCAGATTTTTCGTCTCATCTCGACATCATTCCGAATTGACGGTAGATTTGACATATCGTAAGAGTCTGTAATAGACCTACATGAATATATTTTAGTTGATTTTTAAACTCAATGACATTAGTATTTTTATATATAATATAAAAGGACCCGTTTACCAATGCTTTATTCGCACGGAATTCGTTATATCTCATTTTAGAGGAAATTTAGGGAAAACGACTTTGTGGATTAAATCACAGGAAGCATTTCAAAGTATCAAGAAAAAACAGATCAGATGGTCTAGATACATATGCGATTCAGTTAGAACAAGTCTCGTTCTCGTCTCGTTAGATGCAGAGCCGACTAATATTTTGTATAAAGCAGAGAATAATAAATAAATGTCAAGAGGAGTCAGCATGCAGAAGATTACATGTCTTTGGTAAGAGGTATACGAGTAAGTACTTGATCACACTCATGCAATTTTGTACGCGGATTGACATGAGGGAATAAAAGTAATTTTCTTTCACTGCACCCGTTTTTATAGACTATTTTATGCAGTTTAGATTATTCTACTTGTGTGTTTGTTACTTATTGCATAGAGCTTAACTTTGAGCTCCTTCCTATAGACATAAAGATTACCTTCGCGCCTTGTTTTTTGATGCAATCCCTATTTGACGTATTTTCTTTACTTTAAGAAGCTACCTAATCTTATTATTAATTAATATTATAAACGCTAAAGTTTAAGATTACAAACGGATATTTGTTACTCTTTTACGCAAAAACTACTGAACAGATTTTAACGAAACTTTACAGTAATATAGCTTATACATACATCAGAATTGTAAATAGGCTACAATATTCACTCGAGGCACAGCTAGTTTGCAATAATATAGGCAGGTACATATTGTTACATGCTTCATTACATCAACATTTATTTGAAAAGAATACGAGCTGAGTTGTCAGTTCTTCTCATCTCTAAATCATTCCGTACTGACGGTAGATTTGATATTTCATAAAGGTCTGTAATAGATCTACGTGAATAAAGATATTTTTAATTTGAATTCAGCTTTTTACACTTCGCATTACATTACTGAAGTTTCAGTAGAGATCACCATTTTTTCAACTAATGCATATAGTTTCTGTTACCCAGGGATATTGTAGCAATCTTGAAATCTGTCCAGTAGTTACTAAGATTTTTTTTTTTATTTCTTTTTAAATTTAGGGACTTTTGTACCATCTAAGTACATGTCAGTCCCATTGTACCCTAAAACCAATCACTCCATTACCTCACCAGTGAACAAATTGCCTTAGCGGCACCGCCCGAAGGATCGGTTAAAACAGTTTGTATGGCACCAACATCTAATATATTTATTTCATCGTCTGACGTTATTCCATGTCGTAGACTCTCGTTCCTGACACACTCCATCAGCAAATGATATACATCCTCTATAGTACCACATTCTAAGATTATATATTAAAGTTTTTCAGTATTTCAGCTAACGGTATAGAATTTCCCACTATAATCACTGATGTACCGCACCATATCATAAGAGTCAGTAGACCTACATGAATAAAGATATTTTGAATTTGAAAAAACTATTTAATAATTATGTATACCTATTTTTTGGTGATAATTATGAGTCCGTTATTAAATATTCACAGCAAACCGCCGCCGACGTAGTAGCCGGATATTCAATTTCAGCCGCGGCGGGATCTCCTCGCGACTAAACGTATTAAACTCGTTAAACAGATTGAATCAGTAACGATTCCTTTAACCAAAAAATTGTTTCAAATCATCATTTCATAGTATAAAACAAAGTGGCTGTCGCTGTCTGTCTGGCTGTCGCTGTCTGTCCGTCCATATGTGTCCAATCTTTAAAACTATGCAACGGATTTTGAAACGGTTTTTTTAATAGATAAAGTGATTTTGAAGGAAAGTTTGTATGAATAATACATGTACGGGGTATACAATGTATTTTTCTAAAAAAAAAGTAGCCCCTGTTACTCGTTATTACATCAGCTACCTGCCAAAAAAAGTCCCGTTAAAATCGGTCCAGCCATTTCAGAGATTAGCCGGAACAAAAAGACCGACACATAGACAGACAAAAATTGAAAAAAAGTGTTTTTTGGTATATGTACCGTATTTACATTCATATGCATGTAGTAAAAAACGGTTTTTCAATATTACAAAAATTAACATAATTCCCAAAATAATAATAAAGAGGATTCAGAGTAGAAGAAGGAACAAGAAGAAAAGGTAAGAAGGGTAGAAGTAGTCTAGTAGACTCAGAGTAGAAGAAGTGACAAGAAGAAAAGATAACAAGGGTAGTTACCGCCGGAGGCAACACTCCACCAAAGATTCTATAGTATAACGAGCTACAGATCTCATTATCTCTCTTCATAGTACATTTTTTTATTTTATTTTAAGTTATTTTTTTCTCATTCTTCCAATATGTAGTATATATGTATGTATATATGTAGGTTTACATATTTATCCCTAATGTAAGTATGTATATCTAGTAGTATAATAAATAGTGTCTTATGTGTGCCACCTACCCTATTCTACATATGTACATAAGTCCTCTCTTCTAGGTTGTCAGTAAGAGATTGCATGTAGCGATAAGACCGCCTTTTGTTATTATTTTACTATTTACTGTATTTTCTTATTATTTTATGTGTACACAATAAAGAGTTTTATTATTATTATTTTTTTTCTTGTTTTCCTTTTTTTTCTCTTTTTTTATGGATTTAAAAGAAGGTAATACTCACCTACACGGGCCTTAGCCAAGTGTGGGAGAGGTTGTGCTGGGTTTTTTCTCAGCTTTTGCTGGTTTCCTCCACACTTACGGGCCGAAACCAAGTAAGTGCAGAGTGTGTATATGTGTCTGCGCATGTATGTATGCGTGAGTGTGTGTGTACTTATTGTGTGCGTGGTGTGGCTGGTGTTATATCATTATTATTATTATTATATATATATATATATATATATATATATATCTCCCTTTTTACGGGGGTAATAGATTCAAACACGCGGGCCTTAGCCAAGCATGGATGAGTTATGTGATGAAGATAGAAATTTTCTGACTATTCGGCATGTGTTTAGTATGACGGCTTTTTGTAATAGGTCTATTGTAGAGGAGGGGATATGCAACGTGTCTAGGTGTTTTTTTTTATTTTTATTATTCAAATTCAAATTCAAATTCAAAAATCATTTATTCATGTAGGACATTTTAGCCGCTTATGAACGTCAAATTTTTACATTATAATTTTATTTTTTTCCCTACCGTCCAGTTCGGTATATAGATCCAATTGAGAAGAACTGGCAAGAAACTCAATTGAATTACTTTTTTTTTAAAGCCAGTTTATTTACAATGTATATTTATATAGGTGTCTATGTCTAACATTAAATGAAAATTCAGTGCATGAACAACTATTGCCATGCACACTCGTCATTCAAGTAATCGTTTAGTGAGTAATAGGCTTTGCTCAGTAAATATGATTTAACAGATGTTTTGAATTTATTTAAGGGTAATTCCAACATATCCTTTGGTATCTTATTGTAAATTTTTATACCTATTCCCATAAAAGACCTATTAACTTTTTCTAAACGATACTTGGGGACAGCAAGTTTGTCTTTAAATCTTGTATTAATATTATGAATATTGCTGTTTTTTGGAAATAAGTCAAGATTTTTATGAACATATAGGATATTTGAATATATAAATTGAGAAGCAACGGTGAGAATATTTGCCTCTTTGAATTTCTCTCTTAATGAGTCACGACTCTTCATACAGTAGATCGCTCGAACGGCACGTTTTTGTAATATGAATATATTTTTAATATCTGCCGCTTTTCCCCATAGTAATATTCCATAAGAGAGTAAACTATGAAAATAACTAAAATAGACTAATCTAGCAGTATCAGTATCAGTGTACTGTCTAACCTTACGCACGGCAAAAGCTGCTGAACTTAGTTTCGCTGCAAGGCTTTGAATTTGTGCACCCCATTGTGTTTTATTATCTAGTGTGATTCCTAGAAAGACAGTAGATTCTATAAATTCCAGAGATTCGTCATTTAATTTAATATTGCAATTAGTATTAAAACTTTTAGACAGAGAGAAATTAACACATTTTGTTTTTTTAGCGTTTAACATAAGATTGTTAGTTGTAAACCAGTGCAGGAGACGCCGCAAAGCACTATTTACATCGTCATAATTATTAGTCATTCTATTAACTTTAAAAATCAATGAAGTATCGTCTGCAAATAATACTATGCCGCATCTATCCTGCATGGCATATGGGAGATCATTAATGTAAACTAGGAATAAAAATGGACCGAGAATAGATCCTTGAGGTACACCCATTTGCACAAGTGACCCGTCAGACGTAGCGTTGCTAACCTTCACTTTCTGTATTCTATCAAATAGATAAGATTTTATTAAATTTAAAGCATTGTCTTTGACGCCATAAAAGGCAAGTTTTTTTAGCAATGTATTATGATCAACGCAATCAAAAGCCTTAGAAAGGTCACAAAAAACACCTATCGCATCCATTTTAGTTTCCCATGCAGCAAATACGTGTCTAAGCAACTCTGCACCTGCGTCTGTAGTTGAACGACCTTTGGAAAAACCGAATTGACTATTGTGGAT